AAAAGTAAACTGGAAAAAAAATAGAAATCTTTAATTTTTTACAAATTGTTTTTTGTAACTTAACAATGCCTTCGCTGATCGGATTCAATTTTTTAATGCTTGTGCAATGTATCTTGGGTAAGGTTCATGGGGCTATTTGCATGTGTGGGTTAATAAATGATATGCAGGTGTAACATTTGGGTAACTTTATTCTGGAAACGTTTCGCCAGCCAGTGACTCCTTCAGGTCAATGCAGAAAAAGGATTGAACACAGCATCTCCAGACTGACGGACTAATTAACTCAAACTCCTCATCTTTTCCTTAATGCTGGTGAGGGGTGAATGACCCCCCAAAAAACTGCTATAATGAAATTTCAATTCTTCTCACTGAACAGGCTTTATATGACCCCTACGGATTTAACAATTTCTCTAATTAAAATATATCAATTGTGAACGGCATTATCTTCAGTTGGTGATGTATTATATGGAAGATTTCGTGGGATTATATTTTTTCTTAGGTATCCTCAAAGTGGTACGTTTAAGAGGCTGCCTGATTAATTTTGTTCTTCATCCAACTTCACGATTATACTTGGCTTATAACTCAGGAATCATTCATCTGATTGTCTTCAAATTTTCAGCATTTGTGTATGATACCGGGGATCAATTCTTGAAACATGTTCATCTACCCTATGAATGGAGAGGTTCAACATCACTGATTGGTTCAACAACCTTCGAAAATCGTCAATGGCGGAGCTTCAAACGTTAAAAAAAAGGTGCCAAAAATTGACGGAGAAAAGTGAAACTCAGATGTGTAAATTTTATTATTTTAAGTGAGAGTAAATTTTTTATTTCCATCAAACCAAATTACATAATTTTCTTTTTACTTCTTCTGAAGAGCTTCAGTTTTTAATGGGTGATGCATCTTAGGACCAGAACAGTAACTACTGAGAGTCTGAAGGGCTTCAGTTTTAATAGGTGATACATCTTAACAGTACCTACCGAGAGTCTGAAGGGCTTCAGTTTTAATAGGTGATACATCTTAACAGTAACTACTGAGAGTCTGAAGGGCTTCAGTTTTAATAGGTGATGCATCTTAACAGTAACTACTGAGAGTCTGAAGGGCTTCAGTTTTAATAGGTGATGCATCTCAGGAACAAAACAGTACATACTGAGAGCCGCTTGCTTGCTGGCTAATTTGTAGATGTAATAAAACTAGGGGTCGTAACTGGAGTATGACTCGGCAGGTCTACTTCAAAATTTCACACTGTGGTGTCCTGAATACAAAGCTCAAGCTGCTACTGGGTGCCAACAGTCCCAATTTGACAGTTATATTAAATAAATAAAAACATTCTGTTTTTATTCAGTAACTTAAGAATACATCGTCTGTCCGACATGAAAAGTGATGTGGAAATTAGTCAGTTTATATAATGAATAAAACAATTTAGTGCACCTTAAAAAACAATCTCACTTTCCTAAGCAGAGAATTGCTCGCTCTATTACTTTTATCTACGCATTTTTATGGAACACTTTGTCGTTTGTGATAGACTAATGGAAAATTGAGTACAGTAGACCGTTATTTAACACGGTAGTAACGTTACTAAAAACACCGTGTTAGGTAAAACCGTGTAAGATGAACTGAAGAACTTATGGGAAAAATAGGGTTACGTTCCTGAGAGCCCCAAAAAAAGATAAACAACTTTTTTTAGGCCTCCACATCTTACAAAAATAAAAGTGAATATATAATTGTAGTTCATTGTTGTGATGTATTATGTTGTTTTTACTGCTTAAGATTACAAATGTAACAGAAATAATAGTATTTCTTACCTTAAATTGTGGGTGCTGGTGTTTGTGGATGATTGTGAAGAGAGTGTAGAGTTATGTTGTGGTCCTACTGGGCTGAGGTGGATGGTAGAGGTTCTGGTACTGAAGTTGATGGTTGTACTGGAGTGTCTAACTGTGCAATTCAGTCAATCAAGTCATTCAGTAAGTCAGTCAAGTGATTCAGTAAGTCAGTCAAGTGATTCAGTAAGTCTCAAGTCATTAAGTCAGTTAAGTCATTCAGTAAGGCAGTCAAGTCGTTCAGTAAGGCAGTCAAGTCATTCAGTAAGTCAATCAAGTCATTCAGTAAGTCAGTCAAATGTTTCAGTAAGTCAGTCAGGTCACTCAGTAAGTCAGTCAAGTTCAGTAAGTCAGTCAAGTGATTCAGTAAGTCAGTCAGGTCATTCAGTAAGTCATGCAAGTCATTCAGTAAGCCAGTCAAGTCATTCAGTAAGTCAATCAAGTCGTTCAGTAAGTTAGTTCAGCAGGACTCCCCAGCTCAACCACAACAAGGCGGCCGGGATAAATTCACCTTACGATGTGTTACATAAAATTTTGTCGCAAATCTTCAATCGTGCTATACCCAAATCGTGCAAAACTCGTGCTAAATAGCATAAATACCGCAGAATTCTTCGAGAATGATCGTTAGCGCACTCACCTCTCACACTAAGGTCCGGAGTTCGAATCCCCGGTACAGATGGAAAATATTAGGACTGGTTTCCAAAAGACACCTATTGTCAATGTTCACCCATCAGTATGAAATGGGTACTTGGATGTGACTGGTGTGGGTCGCATCCTGGGACAAAATTGGCCTAAGTTGCCCGAAATGCTCAGCATAACAAGCGGTTTTCTATATAGTAGTATGTCACTGATGTTAGCTATGGTCTGTATACCTTGTATATGTACTTGTAGTAAATAAAGATGTTATATTATATTAACTCGCCCTCCATATCTGGTTTATCTGATGTAAAACTACATCATGAGGAAAACAATATTGTAAGAATTATTATTATTTTACTATGGTCTTATTTACAGTATCAAATGCACAATTTACCGAATTATAATCCACGAAAGAACCAACTTGAAATTGCTTGCAAAGCTAGAAACAAAATCACGACTAATAGTATTGGCAACTGTAGATGCAAAAATTCAGGTAAGCAAAAACAGAGTACTGGACCTGGTGAAACTCACATAATCAACAGCAGAGTGCTGGACCTGGTAAAACTCACATAAGCAAGAACAGAGTACTGGACCTGGTAAAACTCACATAAACAAGAACAGAGTGCTGGACCTGGTAAAACTCACGTAAGCAAAAACAGAATACTGGACCTGGTAAAACTCACGTAAGTAAGAACAGAGTACTGGACCTGGTAAAACACATATAATCAACAGCAGAGTGCTGGACCTGCTAAAACTCACAAAATCAACAGCAGGTGCTGGACCTGGTAAAACTCACGTAAGAAAGAACCGACTACCTTACCTGGTAAAATTCACGTAAGCAAAAACAGAGTACTGGACCTGGTAAAACTCACATAATCAAAAACAGAGTACTGGACCTGGTAAAACTCAGGTACGCAAAAACAGAGTACTGGACCTGGTAAAACTCACAGACGCAAAAACAGAGTACTGGACCTGGTAAAACTCAGGTACACAAAAACAGAGTACTGGACCTGGTAAAACTCACATAATCAACAGCAGAGTACTGGACCTGGTGAAACTCACGTAAGCAAGAACAGAGTACTGGACCTGGTTAAACTCACGTAAACAAGAACAGAGTATTGGAACCTGATAAAACTCACGTAATCAACAGCAGAGTGTTGGACCTGGTAAAACTCACGTAATCAACAGCAGAGTGCTGGACCTGGTAAAACTCACGTAAGAAGAACAGAGTACTGGGCCTGGTAAAACTCACGTAAGCAAGAACAGAGTACTGGGCCTGGTAAAACTCACGTAAGCAAGAACAGAGTACTGGGCCTGGTAAAACTCACGTAAGCAAGAATAGAGTACTGGACCTGGTAAAACTCACGTAAGCAAGAACAGAGTACTGGACCTGGTAAAACTCACGTATGCAAAAACCAGAGTACTGGATACCGTAAAACTCACATAAGCAAGAACAGAGTACTTGACCTGGTAAAACTCACGTAATCAAGAACAAAGTATACTGGACCTGGTAAAACTCATGTAAGCAAAAACAGAGTACTGGACCTGGTAAAACTTATGTAAGCAAGAATAGAGTACTAGATCTGGTAAAACTCACGTAAGCAACAACAGAGCACTGGACCTGGTAAAATTCACGTAATCAAGAACAATGTATATTGGACCTGGTGAAACTTAAGCAAGAACAGAGTACTGAACCTGGTAGAACTCACATAAGCAGGAACAGAGTACTGGACCTGGCAGACCTCACATAAGCAGGAACAGAGTACTGGACCTGGCAGACCTCACATAAGCAGGAACAGAGTACTGGACCTGGTAGAACTCCCCTAAGCAGGAACAGAGTACTGAACCTGGTAGAACTCACATAAACAGGAACAGAGTACTGAACCTGGTAGAATTCACATAAGCGGGAACAGAGTACTGGACCTGGTAGAACTCCCCTAAGCAGGAACAGAGTACTGAACCTGGTAGAACTCACATAAACAGGAACAGAGTACTGAACCTGGTAGAATTCACATAAGCGGGAACAGAGTACTGGACCTGGTAGAACTCACGTAAGCAACAGCAGAGTGCTGAACCTGGCAGAACTCACGAAGTTTATGTCTCTTAATGTGCAAACATTAAGTTTCTTTTAATCCGATTTTAATGGAATTGAGCATTTTTAGAGATCCTCAGGTAGTTGATAGGCTTTAAATTGCCCAACCGAAATATAAGCAAAAAAAAATGCCTTTAATTTTTGTAGATTTAGAGATTTAAATATATATGTCTTTAATAATTTCCAAACTAAAAGAATTTTAAATATTGTGTAAAAATTGTCATTTAAAATGCTGAAGCCAACGAGATCAACTACATCATAAAATACACAAATAACCCGCACATAGGAGAGGACATTTAGGTCCGACTTGGACCATTTAGAGTCACTGACACAAAAGAATGAGGAAGCCAGCATATATAGACAACTGGGACAAGAACGTGAACGAGAGAGGAAGAAAAGAAAGAAGTGGTAGTGGTAAGGCTGGTAGTGGACATTAATGCTGATCTTCTCACCTCGCTCAGGGAAGGAGATTCGAACTTTGTTAAAGGTGCTTGTGATCTCCTTGATATTGACACCTCTAGTACCAATGATGGCTCCGTGGAAACGCTTATCAATTATGATGGTTCTCTCCTCATTTTTCATCCTGGATTCCAACTTATCCCATTCCTAAACAAAAAGAAATTCACAATAATTTTGTCCTATTACCTTGAGTTAATATACACAAAGTGTAAATGCACAGAGTTGACTTTAACCTTAAAGATTAAATACGGATTAAATCTTATTAAATAATACTATAATCTTAGGGAATAAATACGGATTAAATCTTATTAAATAATACTTTAATCTTAGGGATAAGAGTATTTTTGATTATTAGTAAATATTTAGCTGCAACTTCAGTGACCTACATTCAGTCGACAGACTTCAAAGTAAATTAATCTGATGACCTTATGTTTTATTCTCTAATATCCAGACAAATCAGACATTTTGGTTATGTAATTAAAATAATGAGACTATCTTTCACTGTAGAAATAAAGCACAATTAAAAAAAATATGATAAATGGATAAAATTAATTGTGTTTTACTGTTTTTTTTTATTAAAGCACATTAACTTTTTCTTCCATGTGGTGGAGAAAATATACCAAACTATCAAGTCTACCAAGTCTGATGATCACAAACTAATCCTCAGTAGAAGACAATATGCATAGATTACTTTCTAAATTGTACTTCCTTGAGCAACTAATGGACAACCAAATAGTCCTAAACTGAACATCAAAATGGTATACAATACCGACAGGTTGTTAGGTAAGACACATATGCAACAGTTAGACAACTTTATTCCGAAACGTTTCGCCTACACAGTAGGCTTCTTCAGTCGAACACAGAAAGTAGGCAGGAACAGTAGAGATGTGAAGACGATGTAATCAGTCCATCACCCTTAAAGTTCAGTTCCATAGTCAGGAACTATCTAGTTCCTGACTATGGAACTGAACTTCTCCAGGCCGAGGGACTGACAACCTCAAATTCTACGACTACAAGGGTGATGGACTGATTACATCGTCTTCACTTCTCTACTGTTCCTGCCTACTTTCTGTATTCGACTGAAGAAGCCTACTGTGTAGGCGAAACGTTTCGGAATAAAGTTGTCTAACTGTTGCATATGTGTCTTACCTAACAATCCTAAACTGCTTAAGATATCAGCTTATGTTTACTAAGCCAGCAAAACACATGAACTGCTACTGCTCCAAAATATTAAATGAGTCAGGATATTCACTAAATTATGTTTGCTGTTTGCAGAATGATTTCTACCAATAAATGTTATCAGTTACCTTCTCTGGTCGTGATACACCAGCTTGGCTGCCTTCATGGTGAGTGAGACTGCTGCCACCAGTGTTTGACATGGTGATCAAAACTCCAGTGTTATTACGAATTCAACAGATGTTTGAGCCACTCTTTGGAATGATGTGATTGCAAACCCTGTAATATATGTTTAAATTGTTATAAGAAAATTAAAAATTAAAAAGATTTTTGAAAATTAAGTGGAACAGGTAATTTAAAAAAAAATGTGATAACAGCAAAGCTTTACTGCATCATGTTTCACATATATTATTATTATTATTATTATTATTATTATTATTATTATTATTATTATTATTATTATTATTATTTATTATTATTATTATTATTATTGTTATTAACACATCGGCCGATTCCCACCAAGGCAGGGTGGCCCGAAAAAGGAAAACTGCAACATTAACACCCCTCCTTCAGAGTGAGTCCAGGACTCAAGTCCGGCCTGCTGGTTTACCTGAATCCCTTCATGAATGTTACTTTGCTCACACTCCAACAGCACGTCAAGTATTAAAAACCATTTGTCTCCATTCACTCCTATCAAATAAGCTCACACATGCTCGCTGGAAGTCCAAGCCCCTTGCACACTAAACCTCCTTTACACCCTCCCTCCAACCTTTCCTAGGCCGATCACTACCCCACTTTCCCTCCACTACAGATTTATACACTCTCGAAGTCATTTCATTTTGTTCCATTCTCTCTACATGTCCGAATCACTTCAACAACCCCTTCTCACACTACACATTGCCCTCAGACATGACATGTATACTGCCTCCAGCCTTCTCCTCGTTGCAACATTCATCGCCCATGCTTCACACCCATATATGAGTGTTGGTAAAACTATACTCTCATACATTTCCCTCTTTGCCTCCCTTTTCCCCCCATCAATTCTATGATTCACCTTATCCTTCATAGACACATCTGCTGACATGTCCACTCCTAAATATCTGATTACATTCACTTCCTCCATACTCTCTCCCTCCAATCTGATATCCAATCTTTCATCACCTAATCTTTTTATCCTCATCACTTTACTCTTTCTTATATTCAGTTTTAATTTTCTTCTTTTACATACCCTACCAAATTCATCTACCAATCTCTGCAATTTCTCTTCAGAATCTCCCAAAAGCGCAGCATCATCAGCAAAGAGTAACTGTGACAACTCCCACTTTGTGTTTGATTCTTTATCTTATAATTCCACACCTCTTGCCAAGACCCTCACATTCACTTCTCTTACAACCCCATCTATAAATATATTGAACAACCACGGTGACATCACACATCCTTGTCTAAGGCCTACTTTTACTGGAAAATAATCTCTGACACACTGACACAGATTCTGCTTTTGACTCTCGCCCTGGCAGGTCATAGCAGCTCTCCTTACTTACTCTGTCTCCCTACGATCCCCGCTGGGGAGGGGAACCTTTACTTGCACGATGAGCTACGCAAATCGTGTAAAGATCAAACCAACTAGTGGTACCATTGAAGATTCAACGAAGCTTGCTCTTGCAACTGTTGTGCAGGGAGCATTGCATGTTAAATTCAACGCTATTCTGACACTCAAAGAAGCACTCATTGTTGTATGTCACGATGATGCTGAAGCAGAGAAGTTACTCACTACCGAAGCCACCACTACTCTTACTGCTCAAGGATTTACTGTTACATCCTCTCCTGCCCTCAAGGCAAGAAAATCAGTATTCCTGAAAAAACTGGACAAGATTCTGACTTCTCAAACAATTGCCGAACTCAAGTCATCTATTGAAACTCAAAATACTTGGGCTACTGTTGACAGCATTACCAAAATCCCGAATGCATCGTCTATGCTCAAGGTCACCTTTACCGACGTGAACATGGCTGCCATTGCTCTGAACGAAGGTCTTGCTGTTTACTACTACTACATCAGTCCTACCTACATAGAAGCAGAGAGATACCACTACATCCAACATTGCTGGAACTGTTATTCTTATCTTCACACCACCAAAGCAGGTCCAATAAAAGACAAGAAGTTCTGCACTACATGTGATAGTGAGGGACACACCTTCAGTTCCTGTACCGCTGCTGCTCCAACACAACCAGCGTGTTTAAACTGTAAAAGTAATGATCACCATACATTGGCGGCAAAATGTCCTACAAGAAAGGATATTATGAAGAAACAACAAGATGTAACAAAGAAAAAATCTACCAACAATACACCAACGTATGCCGCAATTGCAAAGTTGCAAGCAGACACTACAAATTTACTTCAAGCATCTACTCAGCCCGCCTCCACCACCACCACCACCACCATCACTCCTCCAACATGTGGCGTAACGAAGATCCACTATTGTCTACTATACGCCCACATGCAAAACATGGCTGTTCCTGGATCCTTTAACTCTACCATCAACGAGTTATTTGCATTAAATAACATGCCATCATTTACATTTCCAGCATCTCCACCTTCTGAAGAAATTCTCAAATTCACCAAAGACTTAATCACCAACTCTTCTGCAGAAGTTCCATCAACACCACCAACTAGTGACGTCAATCCAACAACGACCAATGAGAAGCCTCCACCGCCACCACCCCTTACTGAATCCAACCAATCAGAAGCCTTGCCACCAGAAACATCTTCTAATTCGCCTACTGAAGCTGAAAACGAAGCACCACCACCTTCCTCAACTTCACCACCGCCTTCTCCACCTCGACCACGTCGATTACCTGGAACACTATGGGCTAAACACAGAGGACTCATGTTCTACACCATGAAGCATTGCCCCAGCCCAATGGATCGCCTAGAACTCGCCCAACATCTCAAAGACAAAACTGCAACGTACACCACCGACGAAACGCCATACCCTAAAGTCGAACAGATAATCCACCAACTCTAAACCAACGAACTCTTCTACAGAGCTCCCATAGGTGTGATACAACTCTCTAAAACAAAATTTCACACATTGATAACCGCATTAGCGAGAAAATAACTCGTCCTGCTTGCTGCCTACTGACAGTCTCAGCTCCCGCCGCTGCCTTCGCCATCCTCTCCTAGAGAACCAAGCAACGACATCATTCAAGCCTCTCCATCTACGCCTCCAGTACTTCGGTACCACATACCCCAAAATGGTTGGGCCACTTGCCTTGATTCCTCCTTTTCCTCTCCTTCCCATCCTCTTCCAGTTATTTCCACCCTTCCTTAACCTTCTTCCTTCCCATCTCACGACAGCTCTCGTCGTCTTAATCCTAATCCTAATCCTAAATCTCCCTCTCTCCCACATACTCTAACCTGAGCCTCACTATCCTCGGAAAAGCACTTCACCACTTTCAGTAACCTACCTCCTACACCATACATCTGCAACATCTGCCACATTGCCCCCCACCCTGTCCCCCGTGTCATATGCTCTCTCCAAATCCATAAATGCCACAACAACCTCTTTACCCTTATCTAAATACTGTTCACCTACATGTTTCACTGTAAACACTTGGTCTACACACCTCCTACCTTTCCTATAGCCTCCTTGTTCATCTCCTCTCCATTTTACTCTTAATTTTTTTCAATAATAACTCTACCATACACTTTATCAGGTATACTCAACAGACTTATTTCCCTATAATTTTTACACTCTCTTTTGTCCCATTTGCCTTTATACAAAGGAACTATGCATGCTCTCTGCCAATCCCTAGGTACCTTACCCTCTTCCATACATATATTAAGTAATAGCACCAACCACTCCAAAACTATATCCAAAACTGTTTTTAACATTTCTATCTTTATCCCATCAATCCCGGCTGCCTTACCCCCTTTCATTCTACCCACTGCCTCATGAACTTCCCCCACACTCACAACTGGCTCTTCCTCACTCCTACAAGATGTCATTTCCTCCTTGCCCTAAGCACGAAATCACAGCTTCCCTATCTTCTTCAACATTTAAAAATTCCTCAAAATATTCTCCCTAGGCTTCCTCAACTTATTAATCTCACTCCAAAACTTTTTCTTATTTTCAACAAAATTTGTTGATAACATCTCACCCATTCTCTCATTTGCTCTCTTTTTACATTGCTTCAACACTCTTTTAACCTCTCTCTTTTTCTCCCCATGTACTCTTCCCTCCTTGTGTCACTTCTTTGTAAAAACCTCTCATATGCTAACATTTTCTCCCTTGCTACTCTCTTTACATCATTCCACCAATCGCTCCTCTTCCCTCCTGCACTCACTTTCCTGTAACCACAAACTTCTGCTGACACACTAACACTACATTCTTAAACCTACCCCATACATCTTCGACCCCATTGCCTATACTCTCACTAGCCCATCTATCCTCCAATAGTTCTTTATTTCTTACCCTAACTGCCTCATCTTTTAGTTTGTACACCTTCACCTGTCTCTTACTTGCTGCTTCTATTTTCCTTGTATCCCATCTACCTTTTACTCTCACTATAGCTACAACTAAAAAGTGATCTGATATATCTGTGACCCCTCTATAAACATGTACATCCTTCTATCTACCAATACGTAGTCCACCAAACTACTTTCGTTATGCCCTACATCATATCTTGTATTCTTATTTATCTTGTTTTTCTTAAAATACATATTACCTATAACTAAACCCCTTTCCATACAAAGTTCAAATCAAAGGGCTCCCATTATCATTTACACCTGGCACCCCAAACTTACCTACCACTCCCTCTCTAAATGTTTCTCCTACTTTAGCATTTAGGTCCTCTACCACAATTACTCTCTCACTTGGTTCAAAGGTTCCTATACATTTACTTAACATCTCCCAAAATCTCACTCTCTCTCCTCTACAATCCTCTCTTCCCCTGGTGCATACACACTTATTATGACACTCTTCGCATCTCACCCTTATTTTAATCCACATAATCCTTGAATTTACACATTTATATTCCCTCTTCTCCTTCCATAACTGATCCTTCAACATTATTGCTACCCCTTCCTTTGCTCTAACTCTCTCAGATACTCCTGACTTAATCCCATTTATTTCTCCCCACTGAAACTCGTCTACCACCTTCAGCTTTGTTTTAGGGCCAGGACATCCATCTTCTTTTCATTCATAACATCACCAATCATCTCTTTCTTATCATCCGCACTACATCCACGCACATTCAAGCATCCCAGCATCACCAATCAT